AGCCCGACTTCATTTTCAAGGCCTCGATGCTGTTGGCCTGGGGAATTTGCTGCTGTCTCATCTACATGCAGGTGGTGGACAACAGCTTTGTCTGCGAGGCCTGCATTGTGGTGGATCTACTCACATTTCTCTTGCTGACTGCCATGTTGTGTATCGCCTGGTATAAGAAAGTGTGTTGGTGGAAGGATAGACACAGGGAATCCAAAGTGTACGGCAAATTCAGCTGCACGGTGTTCCACCTGTTCGAGAAGCTTCAGTACAGTGTGACTCTGCGCATTACCGCCTACTTGCTGATCATTATATGCTACGTCTCGGTGATCTCTTTAATAATGGTAAGAAATGGCTTTGGTATTAATTTCTGTTATAATGCCTTAAACAGAAAATGCTTATAAGAACTCAGTTCAATTAATTTACACCTCATGAAGCCTCTGTCATAGAAATCATTATTTATATACGAAGTTACTTATCTTTCCCAATCCTTAGATAAACTGCGACCGCGACCAGTTTGAGCTGAGTGTTATTCACAGCAAGCTATTCCACTATGAAATGAATCGGGATTTCTGCTTTCATCCGTGGGCATTTACGAACATGATTTCTTTGATAATCGGCATGAGCTACACCTTTGCACGAATTCCGTTCGTACTGAAGATAGTAGTCAGTGGTTGCGAAACCTTGGCCTACCTGCTGATCGTGTTTTTCCAGTACGCATTCATTTTCCGGCACAGCGCCACCACTTCTCCGTTTTTGCAAGCGGAAGTAGCTCATTGTTTTCGGGTTTGCATGATGCTGCTCACTATGTATGCAAAGGAACGTCAGACGGAGTTCAACACAAAAATTAACTACAAGTGAGTAAAAGGATGATAGTTGTACTCAAAAAAATGTTTATTAAACTAGTGTTATCCACAGGCTTAACGTAGACTTGCAGAAAAAACAAAAAGCAGCTGATGTTACAAACCAATCCATCATAATTCTGCTTAACAACATTCTGCCTTCTCATGTTGGTAAGTTTGCTTAATATTAATCCATAATAATTGGCTTACAAGTGTTTTCTTTCCTTCCTTTAGTCGACCTGTATCTTGATTCCATAGCTCACCATGAGCTGTATTACGAAAATTATCAAATGGTTTCAGTTATGTTTGCCATGCTTGTAAATTTCCAAATGAATTTGCCCAGCCTAAGAATTCTTAACGATATCATTACAGAGTTTGACAAACTGGTAAGACAAAATATATATTAACATCTTGTAAACATCCTTCATGAGTTTTTTCGATTTGGAGTTGTCGGTCTACAAAGAATATTATGTTGTTGAGAAAATTAAGGTCGTCGGTTGCACTTATATGGCCGCTTGTGGATTGGACTTCACATTAGCTTCAGGAGTCAGAGCCAGCAGTAATTTACGCAGTAGTTCACTCCATGTAGATGGTAAGTATTAAGACTGAACGCCATTGTTAAATGTACAGCTAAAATACATTCAGTTGAAGACTATCATAAGATTTAAAATCTTTCCACGGAACAAAATTTGTGCCTAGAAAACTATGAAGATAATAATATACATATATATTACATAAATATTTTCACGAATTACACATCTTATTAGTATTTAAATAACAATACCTGATTAAATTTTTTTTCCAGTGGAACGGGTTCTAAACCAGAGATCGTCCCTTGATAACAAAGAGACCGAGTCCAACCACGATGAGGTGGTCTTCATTATGACCTCGTTCGCCCTGGACCTGATGCGAACCCTGTCGGTGTGCAACAAGGCCTACTCGGATTTCCACTTCGACCGGGATTTGGCGAGTGGAGAGATCTGCATCGGGATTTCCAGCGGAGAGATAATGGCCGGAGTAGTGGGTGCCTCGCAGCCTCATTACGACATCTGGGGGAACCCGGTCAACATGGCCTCTCGAATGGAATCAACCGGTCTGCCAGGTCACATCCAGGTTACCGAGGAGTCCGCCAAGGTCCTCCAGGAGTTCGACATCCACTGCACTTACCGTGGCTTGACCTTCGTTAAGGGTCGCGGAAACATCCCCACTTACTTTGTGGGAATCGATGAAAACCTGAAGTTCATTTCCGCGAGACTCGTCGATCGAGCCTCATCGAGACGTTATTCAGTAATGTCTTCACTGGAACCATATGCAACTCCTACCAGTGAGGAAGATGAGAGTCAGTAGTTTCTTGAATGTTCATTAAAATATATATTTTCTAAAAAAGAACTTGAAATTTTGGGCGGCCGACCAATGTAAAAAAAATCGGGGAATTAAGTCGGCGATGGCAGCTACATGATATTGTCGTCCGATTTTTATGAAATTCAATTCGAAATTCAAGTTGTTATTGCTCACTGTGCAAAAGTCGGAGCGGATTATATCGGATAGCTCCCATACGCCGTTGATTACGCCGTTGTTTTTGATAGTATCGACATGATTTCTTTCAGATGGTGTTTTTTAGCTGCTATTGAATTTCAAACTAAATATTATCAAAATCGGATAATTCTTTCATATAGTTGTCATAGGAAAGATCAAAAAGTATATAGGTACATATATAAGTAATGGGAAAAGAATGATAACGTAGTTGATTTTTTATCCCAAGATCATGATTTTTAGAACATTAGGTTTTTTAAATATTTTTGAATCAAGAAAAAAATTTGGTAAAAATCGGACAACCATCATATATATGCCATAGGAAAGATAAAAAAAATTCATACAGAATTAACGGAAGTTATCGGATATAAAATTATTACATTATTGTTTTCCGTCAGACAAAAATAATTTTTGAATGACTTTTATAATGTCTCTTTAACTTCAAATTAAATTTCATAAAAATCGGACGACTATATCATATAGCTGTCATATAAACAATCGTCGAAGATTTACAAAATTATAATAATAGAAAAGATATCATAGCTTCGATGATTTTTGACTTTATGTATTTTGTTAGACATATTTAATGACTGCAAGGGTATATAAGCATTGGTTCGCCGAAGCTAACTTCCTTTCTTGATACAAGTACAGCCATGGACAGATAAATTACACAAATGTACAAATAAAAGTTTTCTTTAAGTTATTTCTTAAGTTATTTCTTTGGTTTATTTGAGGTCTTATATATTCCGTACTTTTGCTTATCAAATTGTGCCAAAAAAAATTTTGTTACATTTTTCATTGTTTTTTTTTATAACACATCAGTCTTTGGTGTGGCCACTTAAAAGCACACATTGGTATTACACGTAATTTTCAAAGGGTAAAGATTTAATACTAATTTTCTGGTGTATGTTTATCAAAAATGAATTTCAATTGAAACAATTTTGTAAAAAAAAATTGGACACGTGATACATTGTACTCTTAAAACAAGAAATGAAGCTAGCTTCGGCAAGCCGAAGCTTATATACCCTTGCAGTCATCAAATATGTCGAACAAAATACACAAAATAAACAACATCGAAGCTAAGACGATTTTTCTATTCATTTTCCATATTTTCGACTATAGATCATATGGGAGCTATATGATATAGTTGTCCGATTTTGATCAAATTTAATTCGTAATTCAAGAGTCGTTAGAAAACTTTATATTCCAAAAATCATGCTTATCTAATAAAAACCAACTATGTTATAATTTTATTTCCGGTATTTCTATATAGATTTTTCGATCTTTCCTATGGCAGCTATAAGATATAGTTGTCCGATTTTTATGAAATTTTTTCTCAATATAAGGGTTGTTAAAAAAACTTAATATTCAAAAAATCATGCTTGTGGGTTAAAAAACAACGATTTTATCAAATTTATTTCCATTAATTCTCCTTTGGCAGCTATATGATAGAGTTATCCGATTTTGATAAAATTTAAACCGAAATTCAATAATAGTTAGAAAACTCCATCTTGAAGAATTCAAGTCGATCTGATAAAAAACAACGGCGTAAGAATTTTTTATTTCATTCTCTCGTATGAGAGCTATCCGATATAGTCGGCCGATCCGGCTCGTTCCGACTTATATACTGCGTGCAATAACTAAACACCTTTTGGGAAAGTTTCAGCAAGATAGCTTTAAAACTGAGAGACTAGTTTACATAGAAACAGACAGACGGACAGACAGACAGACGGACAGACGGACAGACGTACAGACGTACAGACGTACAGACGTATTCCGACTCTGCTCGTGATGCTGATCAAGAAAATATATACTTTATGGGGTCTGAGGTGTCTCCTTCACTGCGTTCCAAACTTCTGACTGAAATTATAATACCCTTTTGCTCTGCAAGGGTATAAAAAGGACCTTCACTTATCAACTTAGTGAATCTGGCAAAACCGCTACTGAAATTAACGAAATATAAAAATTACTTGCAGAAATTATTAAAAAGTCGTTCAAATTAATTATTATATGAATAGAAACCGAATTCTAAAAAAATTTCATCAAAAACCGACCGAATACTTCAAATGACTCACAGTCCGGGGGAAAAAAAGTGGTCCTATTTTATCTTTTATCAAATTAGATACGATTCTATGTAACATGTAACATGAATTTGCCTAGAGAACTGATTTCAAAAAGATTACTATTTTGACGCATCGGCAAAAAGACACTTGACAAAGCCTCACATCGAGGAAATGTAAACTTTTCGAAGAAACGAACTTGGAAACGACGATACTAAAACAAAGAGGCTAAGACCTCCAGTTTCTAAAAAAAAAAACATTTTTGAAAATTTTGTGCTTTATATGTGTCCATGCGATTTGGAGGCACTTTGACAAAAAAGGTATAAACATTGTTCTATCGTTAAATAGTTTACTGTTTTTTAGTTATTACAGAATTTACTTAATATATTTTAGAATCAATATATCCTTTATCCTGATAGAATACGTTTTCGATAACACATTGGACATTTCTTCTCTTTGTCTGACTTGTGCTATTTATCTGTCCATGGCTGTAACTTTAAAGCCCGGAATTGAATCAACAAACAAATGCCTAAAGTTATCTTGTTGTCCATTTAAATTTTTAATATTGTTTACTAAATCCAAAAGATTTTAAAGTTAAATTATAACTTTCTAAGCTACTTGCAAAGTAATAATAATAATCGTAATAAACCGAGTTTGTGTTTTGCAATCCTAGTAGCAATGCTCTAAATTGACACACACCTTTGTTAGTCCAGATAGAGACCTTATTCATTCGAAGCAATCCAACACAAAGATACACATCGAACTAAAATGGGCACCTACCAATACTTTTCTTCGTCGTTCAGAAGGAAATTTAGGCCATGTTTACTGGACTACGCTGACGAGCTGCATTGGGAGCTCGGCTATTTGAAGGTGAGCAAATGACCAGTTTATCATTTAATAAACGGATCGTTCCCAGGCAAAGTGCAAGGAGCTGAATTTGGAGGAGGAGTACAGGAAGTATCAGGTCCGTCTTATGATAAGCTACCTCACCGTTTTCTACCCCTTGTTTTTACTGGTGATGCTTTGCCTTCAATTAGTCACATGGACTTGTGTCGAGGTGAGAGTTCATTGGTTTAAGATTTAACTTTTCAACTAAATGAACTTCCCATAAGAACCCGGAAATTAATAAGATGAACTTGCTCTTCGATGGACTTTCGTTGATTTTGGTAGCCTCCTTGATGAGTGTCAATTTCTTTGAGAGCTTTGTGCTTCGCCACCCGTGGGTTATGGTTTTGACCTCCGTTCTGTCCGTGCTTGCCGTGGTATTTTGTGGTGAGTTCTATTGGTTGATTAACCAACTCACACCTTTATCTGTTCTCGATCCACAGATTTAATGCAGAACACTTATCATTATTACATTTCCCACTGGCCGCTGAACACCACGTTCGACGTCTTCGTGCTCTGCATGATTTACATGTTCCTGCCAATTCCCTCCATCAGGGGAGCTGCTCTTTTGGCCACATCCGTGAGCCTTATTTACGTGGCCTACTTCATGCACTTCCTGGCCTTCACCAGTAAACGCTTTTTACGAAGGGTCTACGGCATCGACGTGGTCTCCGTGGATATATTCCAATACCTGGGCTTCAACATGATGGGCATCTTCTTCCGCATCATGAACGACACGATGGTGCGCGCCTCCTTTCTCGATCGCCATCAGTTCATGAAGGAGGAGAGGTGGCTGCGCCACGCCCTGGGCCAGGAATCGATGCTCCTAGACAGCGTCCTGCCTCCGCAGATCGCCAAGCCCATCCAGAGTAGCATCAAGCACAGGATCATGCAGCCGGAGAACGAGTTCGAGCGCAAGAGCTTGGGTGTCTCAAGCGCGGAGTACTTCATGGCCATCCAGATCCATCCGGATGTGAGTATCCTGTACGCCGACGTGGTCAACTACACCCACTTGACCACCACCCTGGCGGTGGACAAGTTGGTGAAGGTGCTCCACGACCTCTACGGAAGATTCGATATGGCTGCCTCGCACTTTAAGGTGCAGCGCATCAAGTTCCTGGGCGACTGCTATTATTGTGTGGCGGGATTGGTGGAGGCAGATCCCGATCACGCCACGAAAGCCGTGTCCCTGGGCATTTCCATGATAGCCAACATCCAGGAGGTGAGGTAAGTGTTCACTGAAAGTTGGGTTGGGGTCTGTTCTTATTTATTCGCTGGGTTTGCAGGATCGAGCGCGCCTTGGAAATCGACATGCGCATAGGAGTTCATTCGGGTTCCCTCTTTGCAGGAGTCATCGGCGAGGCAAAGCTGCAGTTTGACATTTGGGGTGAGTTTGCTCATGAGGATATTTATCCTTCTTATTTAAGTCAATGTTTTTCCAGGTGCTGATGTTGATATCGCCAATCGCCTAGAGGCCACTGGAAAACCGGGATATGTGCACGTTAGTGGGCGAACCCTGAGCAACCTGAATGCAGACGAATACATAATCTTTCCGGGCACCGAAAAAGCCCAGAGAGATTCTATGCTGCAGAAGCACCCGATGGGCACCTACCTGATAAGGGGCCACGTCCAGCGGGAATCGGTGAGATCCACCCTATATGGGGTGCAGTCCCATATTAATTTGGACATCAAGACACTGCAAACGAGTCGGAGTACTCGTGGCGAAACCGCAAACACCGACTCGATGTCCGATGAGCTGCGCGAGGAGTTCAACAAGATGCCGGTCGGAGGATTCCAGTAAGTGCTGCTTAAATAGTCACTGGGAAATTTTGGCTTTCCTCAAAGGAAAATTTGGTCCGAATTTGATGTGTTAATGCTTATAAAATAATACTTTAAACTATGATATTGTGTCAAGTTAAAACTTTCATGGCTTACTTAATCCAACAATTTTGCTTCTCAGCTTTCGATTTCCCTGCTGCCGCCGTGATAGAAATGAGAGTGAAAAGTCCGAACGGGTTGTAGGCACTTATTGTGTGGCCTTCAAAGACTCTTCTTTGGAATGGAGCTATCTGCATCAACCCGACTTTGTGTTCAAGTACTCCACGCTCCTGGCCTGGGGAATTGGCTGCTGCCTGCTCTACATTCAGATTGTGACCAACAAGAGTTTGTGCAAGACTTGCATCGTTATCGACTTGTGTGCATTTTCCATACTGACTTTCTTGCTGTGCCTCTCGTGGTACAAAAAATTTTGCTGGTGGAGGTTCGGCCATAATGACTTCAAAATCTACGGCAAATACAGTTGCATGGCCTTTGCCCTGTTCGAGAAGATCCAGCACAGCTTCGTCCTGCGGATCACTGTCTACATGATGACTATTTTTTGCTACTATATGGTGATCTCCATGATACTAGTAAGATTTTCAAAACTTTATTCACTATCTAATTCTAGGCAATAATGACCAAAAATACTAACTAGCTCAAAAAAATTTTTGATCTTCCACAAACGATATAGAAGACAAGAAAGGAAGCTTATATACACTTGCAGTTATCACAAATCTTGAGCAAAATAAATGCTCCTTCACTGTTTTGCAAAATTCTGTCAGAAATAAGAATGCCCTACTGCAAGGGTATAAAAACACAGAAGCCAACAAATGCATTTGACTTTAGATATAATTCCCTATTTCATTATAGGTCTACTTGGTTAAAATATTTGTTGTTACAAAAATAAGTACTCTTTTATATACACTGAAATAATTTAAAATTTGCATTTTTTTTGTTAAACACCTACTTAAGGGCCTACGGCCTAAAAAAAAGGTGATTTTTGGGGATTTTTATAAATTAAACTACTTGATCAATTATTTTAAAATTTTCAGAATATATTAATACATGTTTTAAGAATATACAGTGAAATTTTTAAAGAAAAAAATTAAATATTTTTTAAGTTAGCGTCGATCTTCAACGGCGCTAAAAAAAAAAAGTGCCTTAACTGCTGCAGTGATTCCGGCCCTCTCCGTGGATGAAATCAAAAACTGAAAAATTCTCGTTAAACTAGATGATATTGTCTATACCATGAACTACGATAAAAGAAAAATATCAAAAATTGACAAAATGGCGGCGTTTAAAAAAAAATCGAATTTTAGCCAAAATTTTGGTCGTTTTTGACCTGCCAAAATTCGATTTTTGATCGGATCAAAAAACCGATAGCTCATGGTACGGAGAACTATATATAGAACATACAAAACAAATTTGATAGTGATCGGATCATTAGTTTTTGAGTTATCACTGCAGCAAATTCGGAAAATGCTGTTTCGAGAAAAGTTTAAAGATAAAATGATCGTTTGTACTGTTATGAGAGCGGCTGCTCTTTAAATTGTTATAACTCAAAAACTATTTGAGATATCGATTTAAAATTTTAATATGTGTAAGTGTAATCTACCGAAAAATGAAAAAAAATTTTTTTGATTTTTTTAAAACTTCACACTAGTTGTGGCCCTTAATACTTATGTTATGCTTCGTAGGCTTAGAAAGAACAGGAAAGGAAGCTAGTTTCGGCACTCCGAAGCTGATATACCCTTGCAGACATCAAATATGTCGAAAAAAATACATAAACGTTAAACAACATAGAAGCTATAACGATTTTTATACTAATTTTCCATATTTTCGACCATATTTTCATATGACAACTATATGATATTGTCATCCGATTTTGATGAAATTTAATTCGAAATTCAGTAGTAGTAAGAAAACGCCATTGGAAGAAGTTAAGTCGATCTGATCATATATCGCCCGATCCGGCCCTAACTAACAACTACACAACTTTTGGTAAAGTTTCAGCAAGATAGCTTTAAAACTGAAAGACTAGTTTACATAAGAACAGACAGACGGACAGAAGTACAGACGTATTTCGATTCTGATGGTTATGGTGGCTGATCAAAAATAAATATACTTTATGGGGTCTGAGTTTATAATTCCCTTTGCTCTGCAAGAGTATAATGAAACAAAGAAAAACAAAAGACCTTTACTCCAGGGATTTTTTTATAACTCAATTTTGTTTTGATTTTAATAAAAAAAAACAGGAAACATGTGACGAGGACCAGTATGAGTTGGATTACATTGAGAGCAGAATCTATCATTACGAAGCGGATTTTAGTTCCTGTTTTCATCCTTGGGCCTTTACGAACATGATGGCGCTGATCCTCGGCATGAGTTACACCTTCGCCCGAATCCCTTTCGCCCTGAAGACAATCATCGGCACTTTGGAGTTAATTGCATATGTGTTAATCGTGTTTTTCCAGTACGGCTTCGTTTTCCAACACAGTGCCACCACTTCTCCGTTTTTGAGAGCGGAAATAGCGCATTGTTGTCGGGTTTGTATGATGCTGGTCACTATGTATGCGAAGGAACGTCAGACGGAGTTCAACACGAAAATAAACTACAAGTGGGTGGAACAATTTGTTACGATAATTATAGCCATTTTAATTATCATTATCATTAATTATCATCATGTAATTATTTCATGTCTAGGCTCAACGTGGATTTGCAAAACAAGCAAAAGGCGGCCGATGTCACAAACCAAACTATCATCATTCTGCTGAACAACATTCTACCTGCCCATGTTGGTCAGTTTCAGACTAAATTTCGTTAGTAATCCATTGATTATTTGTATCTTTCATTCTTAGTCGAGGTGTATCTCAGCTCAGTTGCCAAACACGAACTCTACTCTGAAAATTATCAAATGGTATCGGTCATGTTCGCCATGCTTACCAACTTTCAAATGAACTTACCCAGCTTACGAGTGCTTAATGATATCATTACAGAATTTGATCGATTGGTAATTCAATAATTGAACACTTTGTTATTTTAAACTTAATATTCCTTCCTGTTTAAGTTAATTAACTATAAGGGAGAGTACGTGGTTGAGAAGATTAAGGTCGTTGGGTGCACTTACATGGCAGCTTGTGGATTGGATTTTAAATTGGCCTCAAAACATCGGTCCACTAATTACGGTTCAATGCTTCTAGAAAGTACGTACTGACTGATATCTAAACCTTTTAAAGGAACAAAAAAAAAGTGTATTGAAGATTTGATTTACAGACTTATTTTTTAAAGCCTTATAGATTGTTAATAACCATTTATAAGTATGTACTTATTGCATTTTAATGACACAAAAATTACAATTTTTCAGTGCAACGAAGTCGCAGTCGGTCGGGGACAATTAAAAGCGAATATAAACATCCAGGAGTTGTGATCATCCTGACCTCATTTGCTTTGGACCTGATGAGAACCCTTTCGGCGTGCAACAAGGCGTATGCAGGAACACCTTTTGATCGGGCTTTAGCCACCGGGGAGATCTGCATAGGAATCTCCAGCGGGGAGGTAATGGCCGGAGTGGTGGGGGCCTCGCAGCCTCACTACGACATCTGGGGAAACCCGGTCAACATGGCCTCCAGGATGGAATCGACAGGACTGCCAGGACACATCCAGGTGACCGAGGAGTCCGCCAGAATTCTCGAGGAATTTGACATTAAGTGCAATTTCCGCGGCTTGACCTTTGTCAAGGGTCGTGGGAAAATTCCTACCTATTTTGTTGGCATCGATGATAACTTTCTGTTCATTTCGAAGGGTGGTCAGTCTTCACCAAATAGTTTATCAGCTATCGTAGATATGTCTCTGCATGACGAAGAAAACGTTTAGTTGGTGTTCAAACGGGAAAAATTTTACGTGCTACTTTCCTTCGGTTTTTTTTTTTTTGATTTTGTCTCCTGTAAATTGTTTGTATTTGGGTTTACAAAGTGTACTTACGACCTTACCCTTAACCCTTACTTACTTACCCTTCAATAAAAAATTTATTTTAAATTTTAAATTAACAGGTCTTGGTATGGTCAATTACTGTAAAGAGTATAAAAAGGATATTATAATTTCAGTCAAAAGTTTGCAACGCAGTGAAGGAGACACCTCAGACCCCATAAAGTATATATATTCTTGATCAGCATCACGATCAGAATCCAAATACGTCTCTCCGTCTGCCTGTTTCTCTTCAAACTAGTCTCTCAGTTTTAAAGCTATCTTGCTGAAACTTTCCCAAAAGTTGTGTAGGTATTGCACGCAGTATATAAGTCGGAACGGGCTGGATCGGCCGACTACATCGGATAGCTCCCATACGAGAGAAAGAAATAAAAATTCTCACTCCGTTGTTTTTGATCAGATCGACTTGATTTCTTCCACATGGCGTTTTCTAACTACTATTGAATTTCGGATTAAATTTTATCAAAATCGCATAACTCTATCATATAGCTATCCGCCATAGAAAAGATTGAAAAAATTTATAGAAATAATCGTTTTTAATCCGTCGAGCATGATTTTAAAAATTTAGAGCTTTTTAATAACCCTTGAAACGAGAAAAAATTTCATTACAATCGGTCATCGTTACCATAGGGCTTGTCATAGGAAAGATCGAAAAATCTATATAGAAATATCGGAAAGAAAATGATAACATCGTTGTTTTTCATCAGACAAGCATGATTTTTAAAATATATAGTTTAACAATAGAGTCTAACGACTTTTTAATACCGAATTTAATTTCATATAGCCGTCATATGAACAACAGTCGAAAATATGGAAAATTAATAGAAAAATCGTCATAGCTTCGATTCTGTTTAACCTATTTGATATTTGATGACTGCAAGGGTATATAAGCTTCGGCTTGCCGAAGCTAGCTTCCTTTCTTGTTTTTTTTTAATTGTCAAGAATTCATTCAATAGTGACAATTTTATTTTCGAAGATACTACTATGAATTTATTCTTTAATTAGTACATTTCCGTTGTAAATTTTTCGTTGACACATTTGATGGGTTTGTGCTCTGCATGATTTACAGGTTTCTGCCAATTCCGTCAATTAAGGGAGCTGCTCTTTTGGCCACCTCAGTGAGCCTTATTTACGTGGTCAACTTCTTGAACAACTTGCAGTACACCCCTTTGTTTTCGGACTTTTACAATGTTCTGGACATTGATAAACTGCTCTATGTGGGCTTCAACGTGATGGGCATCTTCTTCCGGATTATGAACGACATCTTGGTGCGCGCCTCCTTCCTCGATCGCCACCAGTTCATCAAGGAGGAAGTATGGTTGCGGAACGACCTCCTCCAGGAATCGATGCTCCTGGACAGCATCCTGCCGCCCCAGATCGCAAAGCCCATCCAGGACAGCATCAAAAGCAGGATCATACAGTCGGATAACGGGATTTGGCGAGTGGAGAGATCTGCATCGGGATTTCCAGCGGAGAGATAATGGCCGGAGTGGTGGGTGCCTCGCAGCCTCATTACGACATCTGGGGGAACCCGGTCAATATGGCCTCTCGAATGGAATCAACCGGTCTGCCAGGTCACATCCAGGTCACCGAGGAGTCCGCCAAGGTCCTCCAGGAGTTCGACATCCACTGCACTTACCGTGGCTTGACCTTCGTAAAAGGTCGCGGAAACATCCCCACTTACTTTGTGGGAATCGATGAAAACTTGAAGTTGGTTTCACGAGACTCTTCTTCACTGGATTTATTTTCTCAAAATCCAACTTGTGAAGAAAATGAGAGAAAGTAGTTTCTTAAATGTGCATTAAAAAAAGTGTTTACACCAAAAAGCTTTATATTTTGTGGGCGGTCGAAAATTGTATAAGAAATCGGAATTTTGGCTGGTGTAAAATTGTTATTTGTAATTTTTAACCGGCATGGGTTTTGATTAATAAAAAAATGCATAAAGTTCTCTTCTTGTCCATTTAAAATACAAGAGATTCTAAGCTACTTTTAAAGCCGACTACGCTGACGAGCTGCATTGGGAGCTCAGCTATTTGAAGGTGAGCAAATGACCAGTTTATCATTTAATAAACGGATCGTTCCCAGGCAAAGTGCAAGGAGCTGAATTTGGAGGAGGAGTACAGGAAGTATCAGGTCCGTCTTATGATAAGCTACCTCACCGTTTTCTACCCCTTGTTTTTACTGGTGATGCTTTGCCTTCAATTAGTCACATGGACTTGTGTCGAGGTGAGAGTTCATTGGTTTAAGATTTAACTTTTCTACTAAATGAACTTCTCATAAGAACACGGAAATTAATAAGATGAACTTGCTCTTCGATGGACTTTCGTTGATTTTGGTAGCCTCCTTGATGAGTGTCAATTTCTTTGAGAGCTTTGTGCTTCGCCACCCGTGGGTTATGGTTTTGACCTCCGTTCTGTCCGTGCTTGCCGTGGTATTTTGTGGTCAGTTCTATTGGTTGATTAACCAACTCACACCTTTATCTGTTCTCGATCCACAGATTTAATGCAGAACACTTACCATTATTACATTTCCCACTGGCCGCTGAACACCACGTTCGACGTCTTCGTGCTCTGCATGATTTACATGTTCCTGCCAATTCCCTCCATCAGGGGAGCTGCTCTTTTGGCCACATCCGTGAGCCTTATTTACGTGGCCTACTTCATGCACTTCCTGGCCTTCACCAGTAAACGCTTTTTACGAAGGGTCTACGGCATCGACGTGGTCTCCGTGGATATATTCCAATACCTGGGCTTCAACATGATGGGCATCTTCTTCCGCATCATGAACGACACGATGGTGCGCGCCTCCTTTCTCGATCGCCACCAGTTCATGAAGGAGGAGAGGTGGCTGCGCCACGCCCTGGGCCAGGAATCGATGCTCCTAGACAGCGTCCTGCCTCCGCAGATCGCCAAGCCCATCCAGAGTAGCATCAAGCACAGGATCATGCAGCCGGAGAACGAGTTCGAGCGCAAGAGCTTGGGTGTCTCAAGCGCGGAGTACTTCATGGCCATCCAGATCCATCCGGATGTGAGTATCCTGTACGCCGACGTGGTCAACTACACCCACTTGACCACCACCCTGGCGGTGGACAAGTTGGTGAAGGTGCTCCACGACCTCTACGGAAGATTCGATATGGCTGCCTCGCACTTTAAGGTGCAGCGCATCAAGTTCCTGGGCGACTGCTATTATTGTGTGGCGGGATTGGTGGAGGCAGATCCCGATCACGCCACGAAAGCCGTGTCCCTGGGCATTTCCATGATAGCCAACATCCAGGAGGTGAGGTAAGTGTTCACTGAAAGTTGGGTTGGGGTCTGTTCTTATTTATTCGCTGGGTTTGCAGGATCGAGCGCGCCTTGAAATCGACATGCGCATAGGAGTTCATTCGGGTTCCCTCTTCGCAGGAGTCATCGGCGAGGCAAAGCTGCAGTTTGACATTTGGGGTGAGTTGCTCATGAGGATATTTATCCCTCTTATTTAAGTCAATGTTTTTCCAGGTGCGGATGTTGATATCGCCAATCGCCTAGAGGCCACTGGAAAACCGGGATATGTGCACGTTAGTGGGCGAACCCTGAGCAACCTGAATGCAGACGAATACATAATCTTTCCGGGCACCGAAAAAGCCCAGAGAGATTCTATGCTGCAGAAGCACCCGATGGGCACCTACCTGATAAGGGGTCACGTCCAGCGGGAATCGGTGAGATCCACCCTACATGGGGTGCAGTCCCATGTTAATTTGGACATCAAGACACTCCAAACGAGTCGGAGTACTCGTGGCGAAACCGCAAACATCGACTCGATGTCCGATGAGCTGCGCGAGGAGTTCAACAAGATGCCGGTCGGAGGATTCCAGTAAGTGCTGCTTTAATAGTCACTGGGAAATTTTGGCTTTCCTCGAAGGAAAATTTGGTCCGAATTTGATGTGTTAATGCTTATAAAATAATACTTTAAACTATGATATTATGTCAAGTTGAAACTTCCATGGCTTACTTAATTAAACAATTTTGCTTCTCAGCTTTCGATTTCCATGCTGTCTGCATCTTTGACTTTGTGTTCAAGTACTCCACGCTCCTGGCCTGGGGAATTGGCTGCTGCCTGCTCTACATTCAGATCGTGACCAACACGAAAATGTGCAAGATTTGCATTTTTGCTACTGAGTTTCCCTCCCTGAAGACAATCATCGGTACCTTGTGGTGGGGGCCTCGCAGCCCCCAGATCTCATTCATTCACTACGACATCTGGGGAAACCCGGTCAACATGGCCTCCAAGATGGAATCGACAGGACTACCAGGACACATCCAGGTGACCGATTAAGTGCAATTTCCGCGGCTTGACCTTGACAAAGGTCGTGGGAAAGTTCCTACCTATTTTGTGGACATCGATGATAACTTACTGTTCATTTCGAAGAAGGGTGGTCAGTCTTCATCAAATAGTTTATCATATATTCTAGATATACCTCTGCACGGCGAAGAAAATAATTACAGTAGAATCCGCTTATAGGGACTTTCAAGGGACCAACGAGTTTTCTTCGTTATACCCGGAAGACGCACTAAGCAAAAGGATATAAGTGTATAAGTCTGTCGGGGACCAATCAAGCCATCGAGTTTTCGTCGCAATAACCGGACGGACACTATAAGCGGAGTCGTTATAACAGGATTCTACTGTATATGCATATAGCCTGCTACAGTATGGTCAGCAATTCTAAAGAGTATGGAAAAGTTTTAAGCTAAATTGTTAAAAATTCAGATTTGTAAAATTTAAACAAATTTTTTGTAAGGTTATTGTGAAAACTCAAAAATGTACTACCAAAGTCGGCTTTTGGTTAAAAGTATATTGTACAGTTAAGCCAAAACTTCTTGTCTTTTAAAATTATAAGGCAAAGGTTATTTAAAAAAAAATCAACAAAAAAATGATTTCTGCTAGGGAAAAATGCAAACTTAATTATGCAAAAGAGCGCATGTGGGAACCCGGCTACCTTAAGGTAATAATACAGTTTAACTTTACTAGAAGAAATTACTTATTAATCTGCAGGCGAGATGTGCAGAGCTACGGTTGGAAACCGAGTTCCGACTTTATCGAATACGCCTGTGGAAAAGTTACCTATGTGCTTTTTTTATGCTGCATATTTGTGTCACCTTGGTTCACTGTACGCTTTTGTTAACCACAATTCAGGTAAGGCCTTTGAAATGTTGACAACAATATTCAGGGGGTTCATTTTTTTCCAAAATACTCTCATTTGAGTTTATTGCTTAATTGATTATTTTATGTTGAAAATTCTTTGTTAAGATAATTGTTTACAAATGAGTTTTTAACGAGATTTATTTAGAAAGCTTTGATTCAAATAAAATTATAATTTTTGCGACACTTTCGTATAAAGTGGTATTTACTTATTTAAATTAAATGTATTTTTCTTATTAATCTAAATGCATTTTTTCCAAAGGACCGTAAACTTATCTATTTCGACGTGGTCCTTGTCACAGGATGCTGCGTTGTTATTTTAGCTGTATTAAGTGTCAACTTTTGCGATGACTTTATTGCAAAGCACACGTGGTATATGTACGCCAGCTCGATATTTGCCTCCTTGACTTTGGTGTTTACAGGTGGGTATCTGCTGTCCTTAATTTGTATATTACCTTAACTTTCTGCTAATATCCCGACATTTATTTAGACCTAACTGAATCGATATACCACCACTACGCACATAATTGGGTACTGGGCACGTTCTACGACACGTACATTTTGTACATGGTGTACATGTTCCTGCCGATTCACTTTATCAAAGGAGCAGTCCTTTTGGCTCTCTTGGTGTCCGCCTTGTATATTCTGTACTTTATCAATTATTTGGCCGAAGGGTTCTTCGAGTTTCTGGGAGAACTATTTTCCATCAGCGGGATGTCAGTTGATATTGTCCACTACTTGTGCCTCAACCTGGTGGGCATTTTCTACCGCGTGATGAACGACACGGTGGTACGATCGTCCTTCCTTGATCGCCATCAATACATCAAGGAGGAGATCTGGCTCCGGAATGCCCGCCTGCAGGAGAAGCAGCTGCTGGACAGCATCCTGCCGCCACAGATCTCCCAGTTACTGCAAAGAGACATCAAAACCCGTTTAAAATTGGCCAGGCAGGGTGGTGGAATGCATGCCTTTAGCGCCATGGAAAGAGCAATGGCCATTCAAATGCATCCGGAAGTATCTATTTTGTACGCTGATGTGGTCAACTACACCCACCTGACAACCACACTAACGGTTGAGAAGTTGGTGAAGGTCCTCCACGATCTCTACGGCCGGTTCGACTTGGCTGCCTTTCGCTACAAAGTGCAGCGCATAAAATTCCTGGGCGACTGCTACTACTGTGTGGCGGGATTGTCGGGTCCAGATCCCGATCACGCCACCAAATGTGTGTCGCTCGGGCTCTCCATGATCAATGAAATACAGGAGGTGCGGTGAGTATCAACATCAGAACCAAAGGGCGTCTTATTAAATTTAGTTAAAGGAAGAAGGACAAAGGATATATGTGTTCTTTACACTTTACACTTTCATTAATTAAGGAAATCATCTCTGGATTTTCTTTTAATTAAAATTCGTTTAAGTCAATAACTAATACAAAATAAGAATTACATTTTCCACAAAGAATACAATACAAGCTCTGGAGCCTAGACGAAAAGCGCAAATTTGCTCGTCGACTACAGAGTGATGTTCTTGCTTTTCCTCCATGGAGGAACCGACACACATAAACAACTCGGATTTTAAAAAAGGCGTAGGTCAGATAAAGAAAATTATGTAGAAATGTGAAATTGCCGTATAGAAAATACGTAGATCTATCTACTTATTTTCTGAGTGAAATTAAGAGAGTAGGGTAGGTAAAAGTAAATAAAACGACAATTTATATTTCCCTAAAAATAGAAGACAGCAGACAAACAACAAATTTAAAAATAAATTACTGTGAGCAAACAAAAATCTATGAATTTATAGACTTCCAGAATCTCATGGCAAATAAGCCAAACTTTACATGCAAATATACAATCATCTATTTATTCATTACCAGTAAATGATCTGTTTATATAGATATTTATATTGGAGATACCACGAATATTCGGCTACTATTCAGTATTCGGCCTATTCGGCCACTTTGTTTGGTATTCAGTATTCGGCCGGATAATATTCATGGAAAAAAAAACATAAGATTAATCAAAACTTTTATTTATTATCAAATTACGATATTAAATTCATCAGACGTAAGTTGTGATGGATATACACAAGTTTTTCAGCATTTGACGGTAGTAAAAGATTACGCAAGTCAAAATAAAAAATAAAACCGGTTGCACTCCCCTCGTTCCAGTCCTATCAGGATTGCTAAATGGAAAAGAACGTGGAGGCGATCCAACTTACGCGCTACAAAAATAATCAATACACCTATTTTTTACACAAATGAACTTGAACTTTACAACTAAAATTCCTTTTATCGCAAACCCCCAGTGACGTCCAGCAATTGGACATTAATATGCGCATTGGAGTTCATTCGGGAACTCTGTTCGCAGGTGTCATCGGAGAAGCCAAGCTGCAACTAGATATATGGGGTAAGAAGCAGGGTGATTAGTTGTGATCGAATTGCTAACATTTCACTCTTTAGGAACGGATGTCAACATTGCCAATGCCTTGGAGTCCAGTGGAGTTTCGGGTTTCGTGCATATTAGTGCTGATACCTTAAACCACCTTGAACGCGATCGCTACGTCATTGAAAATGGTCCTGAAAGCGCAAGGCACAATCCTGTTCTGCGTAGACGCCAAATAAGTACTTATATTGTTCGTAAGGAAATAAGGGAGGATGATGAGTCAAGCGAAAGTGATAAATCCCTCCTTGAATTGCATTCCCTTTCTCATATGAACTTGGGCTCTAAATATAGAGTGAGCGCTAATACTAGTGAAAGTTTAAGAGTTGTTTTCCAGGACGAGTTACGCGAACAATTTCGGAAAATGCCCGTCAGTGCATTTAAGTAAGTTGATTATATAGGCAAAAAAAAATAATTTGAAAATGGAAAAATATTTGTTACATATTAAAACAAAATTGTATTGGGAAGCATTTACCTTATTAGTAATATTTTTCTAATTGTTACCCAAAAATTTAATTGAATTGCTTTGTAGCAAGTAAAAAAATAACAAAAACTCCTTTTGCATATCAACTTTAATTTATTAGAAATAAAATAAAAACATTTACATTTTTTGATTATTAATCAACATTTATTTTATAATTTTACCAAGTAGTATTGACCTATTTTTCCCCACCCTTTTTACAGTCCGAAAGAGTTGTATTACAAGTATCGCCAAAAGCAAAATCAGAATCAGAATCCGCAACTGAACAAACAACTGAACTCCTGTTTGTCCTTTTACAATCACTCCATGGAGAAGGCCTACTTGAACCAGACCGATTATATGTTCAAGTATAGTATGTTGTTGGTCTGCTGTCTTACTTGCTGTCTAATGTACATTCAACTGATGGTCT